CGAACACTGTGCTTGATCATCAAACTCAGAATCAGTTATGTGAGTCTGGTTCTGAATATCCTCCGAGAAACGTGGAAGATGGAGATGGAGAAGTAGATGATAAAAGAACTGGTATGTGCTCTCCTTAATTCTCCCTTTAACACACACGAAAGCTTTTATTTTATTTTTTTATTGTCTTTGGGCTGAGGAAGACTTGGGGAGACTTGGGGAGACTTAACTGATTATAATCATTATCTTATCTTATTTATCTCTAAAAAAAACTTTATTTAAAACAAAAAATCGTGTACAATGTAGTTCCTTTTTCCTTTTGGTGGAGCAGATGCTATATAAAATAGGAGCGTTATAAAAAAAATACAAAAGATAACAAGGAAATCATACGAAAAAAAAAACCTACGATATTAAAGATGTGACCAAAATATACAAATTTGGTGAAATTAATATATTTTCTTCATGCTCATGGACCAATTTGAACCATCTTCTCGGCATCGCATAGAAATTAATATCCTACGTCTTCTTGAATGAAACTTTTTTTTTGTCGTGTTCTTCTTTATTTTTCCTCTGGCCTTTGCGATGCAGCTATTGATATATGCAGCATACATAAGGGAAAAGGAAGACACAAGCCTCAAAAGAAAAAAAAGAAAAAGCAATGCGTTTTGGCAATATTATTTTTGATCTGGAAAATGGTAGTTAGTGGACTACGACTCACTGTTTACAGAAAACTCTCTCCAAGAGGTCCTTTACAAGACTTGAACCCCTGACCTCCCTAAGGATGATACTCAAAGGCATTATCGAACTTGTGGACCTAGTCAGCTTTTATCCACTAGACCAAACCCCTTGGGTGTTTTGGCAATATTTTGAAAAGCAAAATTATGGACTTATATGAACTCAGAAAAGAGAAAAATGAAAAACAAAACATGTTGCAGATGAAATAAGTAATATTTATTCATTTTTTTCCCTTATGTTTATGTATATATTTGCAGGGACTGTGTGGACTGCATGTGCACATATAATCACAACATCAATAGGTGCTGGGGTGCTTTCTCTGGCATGGGCTATGTCTCAGCTTGGTTGGGTTGCTGGCATTTGCACTATGTTGTTTTGCTCCTTAGCTGCCCTTTATGCTGCCACTCTCTTAGCAGATTGCTATAGATTTCCAGACCCAGTTACAGGCAACAGAAATTACTCTTACATGGAAGCTGTCAAAGCCAATTTAGGTAACTCATTTCGGATATATTGCTCGCTCTTATTTTCCAATGGTCAATTTTTGTTGATAGATTTTATGTTTTTATTTCGTTAATGTATAAAGGTGGAACAATATTTTACAAATTCTGTGGATGGATGGTGTATTTAAATCTCGCTACAATTGGAGTCGGCTTTACCATCACCACAGCAAAAAGCATGGTGTAAGTTCATTTTCTTGGAACAAAGTGATGAGAAATATCGCTGTGTCAATATATATGATGCATTATAATTAATTCGAGTTCTTGTGTGCATTTGAGTACTTAGGGCTATACAGAAATCGCATTGCCATCGCAAAAATGGGGGTGATGCCCCATGCATGTTTTCCAATATTCCACACGTGGTTGCATTTGGAATTGTTGAAATTCTTTTATCTCAACTCTCAAACTTTCACAAGATCTCTTGGCTCTCAAAGCTTGCAGCAATTACGTCTTTTGGGTATGCCTTTATCGGAATTGGACTTTCCCTTTCAAAAATCATAACGGGTAAGTTGTCCATCCACAAAATGTTGAAACCAATCTCCCCAAAATGAAAAATGGACACCAGAAAATAAAATTATAATAAAAATTTTGCTTGAGCAGGGCATGGAGGAAAACCCACTGTTGCAGGAGTGGACCTATCTTCATCTGAGAAAATTTGGAGGATGTTTGTAGCAGCTGGAGATATTGCATTTGCTTGCTCATATGCTCTGGTGCTTTTTGATATCCAAGTAAGACATGCCAATTTGCCAAGTCAATTCTTGCCTTTTCTTCTATTGAAAATAGAGAGGCTTTTCTATTTTGTTTTAGCTTAAACATTGCATGCATTTGAATTTTTTATTATTTTTTTATCAGGACACACTAAAATCATCGCAACCAGAAAACAAAGTGATGAAAAAGGCTGTCTCAATTGGGGGTTTGGTTATGATCATAGTGTTCTTGATGTGTGGTTCCTTGGGTTATGCTGCCTTTGGAGATAAGACCCCAGAAAATCTTCTAGCTGGTTTTGGAGATGATATGGCCTTCTGGCTAGTTGATATGGCCAATGTTTTCATTGTGGTGCACATAGTTGGTGCATATCAGGTGCATAAGATTTTCTTCTAGTAGATAGTCGGACATGTTTTGTTTTTAGACTGTCAATCCAAACTATCGATTAGGTGGAATCCTGTTTTAGTACATAGTCTAGACAGACAATTTAACAACATAACGTACAAAACTGCTATTGAACAAATCTAACGTATATTGTTATTCCTACAGGTACTTTGCCAACCGTGCATAAGATTTTCTTCTAGTAGATAGTCGGACATGTTTTGTTTTTAGACTGTCAATCCAACCTATCGATTAGGTGGAATCTTGTTTTAGTACATAGTCTAGATAGACAATTTAACAACATAACGTACAAAACTGCTATTGAACAAATCTAACGTATATTGTTATTCCTACAGATACTTTGCCAACCAGTGTTCCGAATTGTTGAAATATTAGCTAGAAGGAGGTGGAAAAGGTCTAAGTTCATAAACAGAGAGACCCCAGTTAGAATTGGGAAGATGAGTTTCAACATCAACATGTTCAGGCTGTCATGGAGGACAGCCTATGGGGTGGTAGTCACATTTGTTGCCATTGCTCTGCCTTTCTTCTCAGACATGCTTGCCCTTCTTGGAGCCATTGGCTACTGGCCACTTATAATCTACATCCCATTGGAGATGCACATTGAGCAAAAGAAGATTGGGAAGCTAACAATTCGATGGTTTGGGCTCCACTTGTTGAGCTTTCTGTGCTTGCTTCTTTCCTTGGCTGCAGCATCTGGTGCCATTCATGGTATTTATAAGAGCCTCAATACTTACAAGCTCTTCCAATATAAAGAGTGAAGTGAAGCCAAAATTAAACTAGGCTTGCTTGATGAGCTTGTAGACAATGATTTATTGGGTGGTTGATTTATGGGTGGATCATGGAACTCTAATCTTTATTTAAAAAGTTGAATTTCAATGTCCCTTTCTTTATATCTCTCTCCTCTTTTGATAAGTGACATGAGAAGAGAGATATAAGAAGGAGGCAATGAAACAGGTGTATGAAAGTTTTTCTCCACCATTTATGGGTTTGTCATTTTCATTGGTTACAATTAGGTAAAAGTGTTATGGAAAAAATAGAATCAATAAATGGTAGCTTTTGCCTTTCAAATAATGATTTACACCACCTTGCCTTAATCTCTTCAAGCTCATATTCATACCATTGCCAACTACCCATAAAATTAAGAAGTATAATTAGTTAAGCTACTGTTGGCTATTAATTTTTTTTCCGGACCACTTTAAATATTTTTTATATATAACATATATATATTCCTTTATTTCCAATGATCCTTGCTGATGTAGAAATTTCGATCAACAAGTGACTTTACGTGGTTGTTGTTCTGTCAGTCTTTGGGCTTGTTGCTCTGTTTACTCTGTTTGGGCCTTGCTCTGTTTTTGACCCTCTGCTCTTTGGACCTGGTTTCTATTTCTTGGCCGAGTGGCATGCTTAGGCTTGTTAAGGTTCGAGATTCGGGAGAGTGGTTTCGAACTTCTGCCCACATGAGTGAAGATAGAAGGGCGCAACTGAGCTATCTATATCCACTTGCAAATAACTTTCTATTAACAAGTAACAACTCAATTACAACATGACCAATCCAACACTGACCCAAGCTTATAAACTGGTTAGCTGGCCTAAGCAGCCACTAACTAACTAATCAATCTTGGCGCCAATCAAACTATTTTTTTAACTAATTATCAACTCAGCTCCACCACTAATCAATTACAATATATAATTAAAAAAACAGTTAACATATTCGGATCACCGATTTGGATGGAGGAATTTGAATTTAACAAAAATGCTAAATTTACTACAAAAATAAAAATCACATTACATTGGATGTATTTGAAATGAAGATATGCAAGGAATCATTTGAAATTCATTTGTTTTCTCCGTTTCTTTATTATTCAAATCCTCACATATATGAATTATAATAGTTTAAGGGCCAGTTTGGCATTGATGTGCTATGAAAATAATTGCTGTCAGATTTACTGTGAGAGAAAGCAGTTTGACATTTGGTGAACTTTTTGTTAAAAGTGTTGTTGGTACCGATTCCGGTATAATCAGAAAATAAAAGCACCTCATTAGCTGTTTTCTCTTATAGTTTTCTCTCACATCAATTTTTAATAATAAGTGATTTTCTCATAGTTTACCAAATATGCTGGGCTTCTCAATTTTTTTAAAAAATCACTTATTACCCTAAATAAGCAATGCCAAACGGACACTAAATAGTCTTACTTTATAATGTCATTTAAGTCCATAAATTTGTAATGATCTAAGCAACTTTTCATAACTTACTCTATAAGTCATACTTTGTCAATTTTTTTTCTTCCTAAAATATCCTCATTAATATTTGGTGTGATATAGGAAGGAAAATACTTTTTTTTTCTCCAACTCTTAAGAGTAATTTAATGCTATTTTGTTTCTTTTATTACACTTTGGACTGTTCTTTTTGCCGTGAGATTTGGAAATTGCTTCTTCTGGTTAGTTTTCTTCTCTCTCTCACTTCTTACATGTGTCTAGTAAGTCTGAGCGTTACAATTACGCCTTTCTCCATCTGGCCACCATGGAGAGATGAAATTTATGATTCCATGCATTAAAAAAGAGCAAAAGTAGGGTTGTTAATCACTTTTGATCGAATAACACGATGCCACGCCAGCTAATCAAAATATAAGGGAGGGGCTAATTAGGCTTTGCATCTGTTCATGAAAGAATACAAGGTAGTGTAGCATTGTGCCATTTTTGGGAGAGTGGCGGTTTTGTGGGTCTTGGCTTAATTAGCTTTGCGACGAAGACGAAGAGGTGCCTAGCTATCTAGAGCAAACATGGTGATCACTGTGCTTGATCATGAGTTTCAGAATGAATTATGTGAAAGTGGCTCTGAATATCCTCCCAAAAAGGTGGAAGATGGAGAAGTAGATGATGATGGCAAGCCAAAAAGAACTGGTATGTACTCTCTTTCACAACATGAGCTTGAAGATTATATAATTTTTCTCCAGTTTCACAACATGGGTTTTCAGTTCAACTCAAGTTCTTTCTCCTTCTAATGTAGCAAAAATTCCAAACTTGGTTACATTCTTTTTCCTCTTTTCAAGTTTGACTTGTTCTTTTTCTTTTCTTCACTATATTCCTTTGTTATCTTTTAAAAAAAAGCTTGGAATGTAGCCATTAATGTTATCTTCAAAAGCTTGGAATCCTTTGGCTTTGGGATACAGCTACTAATGCATAAAGAACAGATAGACACAAGCCAAAAACCAAAACAAACCTATAAAAAAAAAAACCATTGCGTTCTTGCAATATTTTGAAAAGAAAATTATACAATTCGCCTTGAGATGGTTCGAAAATTAAGCAAAGTTAGTGTTAGAGACTCTTCATATTCATGACAGTTACAGCAAATTAATGAGATTTCCGTTACAATTGTTAATACCCATAATTGCCTTGTTGTCTGTTACAGTTCGGCTATAACTCCCAGACCATTGCAGCTTGTATAAAATCCATGTAATAGTGTTTATTCAGATATGAAAAGAATCTGTTTCTACAGTTAGGATGGAATTATATGAATCTTGAAAAACAAAATATCTTTAGACATACATAGGGTTTAGGGTTTAACATGTTGCAGATGAAATAATTAATATTTTCTCTTCTTTTTTTTTTTCTCTAATATGTATATATGACATATATATATATATATGTATATGTATATATTATATATGTAGGGACAGTGTGGACTGCATGTGCACATATAATCACAACATCAATAGGTGCTGGGGTGCTTTCTCTGGCATGGGCAATGGCTCAACTTGGTTGGGTTGCTGGCATTTTCATTCTCTTATTTTGCACCTTTGCTGCCCTTTATGCTGCCACTCTCCTAACAGATTGCTATAGATTTCCAGACCCAGTTACAGGCAAGAGAAATTACTCTTACATGGAAGCTGTCAAATCCTATTTAGGTAACTCATTTCGTGTATGCACACTCTTATTTTTTGTTGATAGATTTTGTTTTATCTTATTTTATTTGCCTTTTCTTTTCATTTCCTTAATGTATAAGGTGGAAGAATGTACAAGTTCTGTGGATGGATGTTGTATTTAAATCTCGCTACAATCGGAGTCGGCTTTACCATCACTACAGCTAAAAGCATGGTGTAAGTCAATTTTCTCACAACAAAATGAAGAGAAATATCACTGTATCAATATTGTAATTCGAGTTCTCTTATATATGTGTTTATTTGAATGCTCAGGGCTATACAGAAATCGAATTGCCATCGAAAAAATGGTGGTGATGACCCATGCATGTTCTCCAATATTCCACACGTGGTTGGGTTTGGAATTGTTGAAATTCTCTTATCTCAACTCCCAAACTTTCACAAGCTCTCTTGGCTCTCAAAGCTTGCAGCAATTACGTCTTTTGGTTATGCCTCGATCGGAGTTGGACTTTCCCTTTCCAAAATCATAACGGGTAAGTTCTCCATCAACAAAATGTTAAAACCCATCTCCCGAAAATGAAAAATGGAAACTGAAAAAATAAATAAAATTGCTTGAGCAGGGCATGGAGGAAAAACCTCTGTTGCAGGAGTGGACCCATCTTCATCTGATAAGATTTGGAGGATGTTTGCAGCAGCTGGAGATGTTGCATTTGCTTGTTCATATGCTCTGGTGCTTTTTGATATCCAAGTAAGACATGCCAATTGCGAAGACAATTCTCAGCCTTTTCTGTTTTGTTTCAGTTTTATACATTGAATTTGATTTGTTTTGATTTAGGACACTCTCAAGTCATTGCCACCAGAGAACAAAGTGATGAAGAAGGCTGTCTCAATTGGGGGGTTAATTATGACAATATTCTTCATCATGTGTAGTACCTCGGGTTATGCTGCATTTGGTGACAAGACCCCAGAAAATCTGCTGGCTGGTTTTGGAGATGATATGGCCTTTTGGCTAGTTGATTTGGCCAATGTTTTTATTGTGGTGCACATAGTTGGTGCATATCAGGTATATATGATCAAGTTCATAACATTGTCATTTTCCAGATAATATGGCATGCTATGTTTTTATTTTGTCAATCTAAACCGTCAATTACGTAGAATCTTATTTCGATACGTGACATTGACAGTTTGGCAACATAATATGCTAAGACATGCCAATTGCGAAGACAATTCTCAGCCTTTTCTGTTTTGTTTCAGTTTTATACATTGAATTTGATTTGTTTTGATTTAGGACACTCTCAAGTCATTGCCACCAGAGAACAAAGTGATGAAGAAGGCTGTCTCAATTGGGGGGTTAATTATGACAATATTCTTCATCATGTGTAGTACCTCGGGTTATGCTGCATTTGGTGACAAGACCCCAGAAAATCTGCTGGCTGGTTTTGGAGATGATATGGCCTTTTGGCTAGTTGATTTGGCCAATGTTTTTATTGTGGTGCACATAGTTGGTGCATATCAGGTATATATGATCAAGTTCATAACATTGTCATTTTCCAGATAATATGGTATGCTATGTTTTTATTTTGTCAATCTAAACCGTCAATTACGTAGAATCTTATTTCGATACATGACATTGACAGTTTGGCAACATAATATGCAAGACTGCTATTGTACAAATGTAACATGCCATGTTATTATCATGAGCAGGTACTTTGCCAACCGGTGTTCCAAATTGTTGAATTACTGGCTAGAAGGAGGTGGCCCAAGTCCAAGTTCATAAATAGAGAGAACCCAATTAGAATTGGAAAGATCAGATTCAATATCAACATGTTTAGGCTGTCATGGCGAACAGCCTATGGGGTGGTGGTCACAATTGTTGCCATTGCTCTGCCTTTCTTCTCAGACATGCTTGCCCTCCTTGGAGCCATTGGCTACTGGCCACTTATAGTCTACATCCCACTGGAGATGCACATTGTGCAGAAAAAGATTGGGAAGCTAACAATTCGATGGTTTGGGCTCCACTTGTTGAGCTTTCTGTGCTTCCTTATTTCCTTGGCTGCAGCATCTGGTGCCATTCATGGTCTTTACAAGGGCCTCAATGCTTACAAGCTCTTCCAATTTAAAGAGTGAACTGAACCCAAATTAGTATGCTTATTATTCTAAATAAAAATATGGATCTAATTATGTAACAAAACCATCCGTGACCAATCTTAGACTTAGCCACCTACAACTCGTGGCCAATGGATATCCCATTATCCAAAAGAAGGGTAATTTGGTCCTCTCATTCAAATCACCCTTCTTTTGTGTTTTTTTTTTCCTCTCACTTTTTTGGGTCAGAGTTTTTCCTCTCACTTTTTTTAGACTTTTCAAACTTCAAAGTAGAAGACTAGGGCACTTGAATTTTTATTTTATTTTATAAATTCATAGTTCTGTCTCAGTGTTGGAGAAATTCTTGGCCACCTACCATGGATTAAAGTCGAACCACTTTCATCCTCGTTATATTATATAGTCTACAGAATAATGTGGAAGTCCACTTAACTACATAAATCTAAAAATCTTTTGGAGCATGCAATAGTGAGGCCTGTATTAATGGAGGAGCATTACCTCAAATACGAGCACAAAATAAAACCAAGTGCTCTGGTCTAAGATTTTGCCCATAACTTGACAAAACCAGGCAATTGAAGGTGATGATGTAATTTTGCAACCAAATATGTAATGTTTAAATACAAGGGAACCTGTATATATGATGCTCATCATTCTTTGTCTTACTTCACCAACTAAATTCAAGTGTCCCATTCCTTCTAGATGGCCCATGCATAATCACGCTTTTGCCGTTTTGTTCTAGAGTGAGTACATAGTCATGTTTAAGTTTTCTAAAGCATGCTTTTACTTACATTTTCAGCTATAGAAGAACATGGTTTTACTTAGAATAGAAAGAAAGAAAGAAAAAAAGGGGTCTTACAAAAGATACGATCTTCTGATTTCATATTAGTACTTATTATTATCACTTTAAACATAGTTAGCTTTTATATACATTGTTGACTTATTTCTTAACAGTTTAAACTCGGCTCGGCTCGACAGCTTAAGATTTTAGGTTTTAATTGTTGTTTAACATCAACTAGATCTTTATATTATTATTTAATTTATTTTTAATTCATGGTTGTGAAGTGATTGGTCCTGGATTTTTGCCACTCAAACTGTAAGGGAGTAGCATTCTAAGTTGTGAGTTGAATAGCAACAGTGTATAGGCGGCCTGGAAAATGAGCAGTGTTTTCAAAAGTTAGTCGTTATGAAGCTTTTTTAGACTATATCATGCATATAGTCAATGCCATGACCAAACCATCGTGATTTAATAGAGACACAAACCAACTATGAAATTTCTGCTCACCTGCCATTATCTTCCATGGCATATGTACTAATTTGACTTCTAAGTTAACGGAACGCAGACATTATTTGAATATTATTTTTCTACTTCACTAAATTAAAGGCTTGGATGGATAATTGGATATATAAATTACCCTATATAAGGTGGTCAAGTTATAAACATTGAATTATTTGGACGATCCAGATGTTGTGAAATGCGTGTAAATATGTAAACTCAAAATGCATAGGCTCGGGATCCTACAAGAAGTTGAGTGTTAAGAGAAAATGTCATCCTATTCCTATTTATAAAAATATTTTATATAAAAATTGAAAAATTAAAACCCATGTTGGTTTCCAAATTCACAAACACGCCCCTCACTGATTGATGGCTAATTGGATATTTTCATTAAAGATCGGGGCACAGTGTAACAAGAAAGACTCCGCTTCTAGAAGAAGCCCCATTAACTCAGAGAAATCTACGAGCAAGGACACACACTGGTTCTCTTTTTTAGGAAGGTTGTAAATCTAACGAGATAAAGATCACCACCCCTAGATTTTGATTTACTATTGGTTTTAAAAAATAAATAGAAAGTCCAACTTTTCGCTATATAGCAAATGTTTATTGTATTTCTCCCTAAATAAATGATCATTATCTCTCGTTGATCCGTGTCAAAATAAAACTCCATGCCGTTGCCATCTCACTTTCAGTGGCATAAGTTGTAATTTAGTGAAACGTTAGGGTCATTTTAACCCGCTGAAACGCATATAATCTCATGGCCCAAACCAACCAAGTTTGAATTGCCAGCCGTTACTTCTCCAACTTTTTCCCGGTAAAAACACAGAACCGGAGCAACGAACTCAACCACATGAAATGTCGAAAACACACCAATCACTCTCCGGCATCCCATCCTCCCTTCTCCTCCTCTTCATCCTCATCTCCCTGCCCTTCGAAGTAATTTCACAATCCACCGAGCAGTCGATCCTCCTCAAGCTCAAAGACCAATGGGGCAATCCGCAGTCCATCCATTCCTGGAACTCCTCATCCTCACCGTGCGATTGGCCAGAAGTCAACTGCACCAACGGCGCGGTCACCGGAATTTTCCTCCGCCAAAAAAACATCACGCAGAAAATTCCAGCGACCGTTTGCGACCTGTCGAGCCTCGCTGAGCTCCACCTCGCCTGGAATTTCATTCCAGGCGAGTTCCCCGACTCTCTCTATAACTGCTCGAAGCTCCAAGTCCTCGACCTCTCACAAAACTACTTTGTGGGCCGAATTCCGAACGACATCGACAGGATGTCGTCTCTCCGATACTTGGACCTTGGCGGGAACAACTTCTCCGGCGATATTCCGGCTGAAATTGGCCGGATGCCGGAGCTACAGACCCTTCGGCTTTATCTAAACTTGTTCAACGGCAGTGTTCCGAGTGAGATTGGGAACCTGTCGAATCTCGAGATATTTGACATGCCTTTTAATGGAAATTTGGTGCCTGCCCAAATCCCAGAAGACTTTGGAAAGTTGAAGAAGCTCAAGCGTTTATGGATGACGCAGACGAATTTGATTGGTGAGATTCCAGAAAGTTTTTCTGGTCTTTTGAGCCTTGAGACATTGAATCTTGCAAGAAACAATTTGGAAGGAAAAATTCCTGGTGGGTTGTTTCTGTTGAAGAATTTGAGCGAGTTGTTTCTTTTTCATAATAAATTGTCAGGGGAGATACCAAGTACTGTGGAGGCTTTGAATTTGGTTCAAAT